CAAACAGATAATAAGATAAAAAAGCGTGCAATAAACAAAAGGTTCCTGTAGAGTACTACAGAAGTTTAGGGTGCTAGTACCTTCCCTAAGCTTAACCAACCCCTTACCTAGGTCTCTCCCCGCATTGTGTTTACGATGCAAAAATAAGTTTTCCCTCTTTTGACCTTCTCCTTCGGATAAATCAAAGAGCAGTTGTGAATCAAGAGTTGTGATTCAAACTAATTAATAGTTTGATATCCTATTTCCACCGCAACAGTTATCAACCATGATACTATATTACGCACTTTCAAGTTTTCTACAACGGTCATAAGACTGTAATTGTAAGTAGCGCATATACACCCTACGTAACAACGGCAGGTCACACGTGATGTTATCTCTTTTACAACCATTGTTGTATATATTTTCTGTAGTAGTGATAGTTAAAATTTCTCAAATACTTCTAGTTATTGTTCAACATTCTTACATATTTGTTCATTTTTCAAAGCATCGAGTTTTATGCTTTCAAGAATGAATTAATTAGTATAAAAAGAAGTGTTGAATGAGTAGTTGCATGATTCTTCAATCATAAAACAACATGAGATGAAAGAGTAGTTGCATGATTCTTCAATCAATGTAAGTTGATCTTCAAATATAATACAATTATTCATATAATTATTTTCCTAACTAATTTGAAGAAGTTATATGTTCAGTATATGGTTTAATGAAATAAGCAACCCACATTAGATTTAATAAACTCAAACTTGTTTTACCCCTCGATTTTATGAGATAACTGGAGTGAAAATATGGTATACTCGTCAGTGAAATTACGTGAAATTACAAAATCAAGGGGAAAATATGGTATACCCTTCGAACCCATGACCTTTACAATTACCCATCGGTTTTTTAAAACCGAGAGATAAAGTGTGCATTTTTCATAATGCCCTTCATTACCTTGCCTTTGTTGCTAAGATTAAATGCATTTTGCATCTGAGGTTAAATGTGTTTTTTTTCTAATAGTGGAGGACATTACAACATTACTAACATGTATAAAGAGATAAGAGGGGATAAAGAACAAATGGATTGGAAAAAGATATTGCTCACAAACCATGCTAGACCTCGAGCAATATTTATTTTATGGTTAGCTTTTCATGGAAAGCTCCCAAATAAAAATATAGGTTTGAAATTATAATTGATGGAATTTGTACTTTCTGCACTAAGACTGAATTGTTGGATCATCTTCTTTTTTTAGGGAAAAACAACAAATGATATATGGAAAAACATCCTAGCTTGGATGGGCTATAAGTTTAATCCCAAAAGATAGAAAAATAAGGAAAATTGGATAATCCCCAAAATGAAAAAGAAAGGTTGAAAGCGAAATATATTGAAAATTGCCATTGCTGAAATAGTATATGGCATATGGAGGAGTAGGAATGATAATATTTTTTTCAAAAATCTATAGATAAACATTTAAAAGAAAAAATTATTCAAAGTATAGTTGAAAGACGCACTATGTATAGAAGTTTAAAAAGTCATATTAATACTAGGACTCTAAATATAGAATAATATTTTTGTAATCTTTTCTTGGATCCATTGAGATTGAAGTGTATATGTTTGTTTTTTGATAATAAAAAGTCATTTTATTAAAAAAAAACTTATGATACGTCATGCATACTTTGACTTTATTATTTTTATTTGATTATAATTTGTTTTTATAATTTAAATATGATTAAAAGTATATATATTTTTTCTTTGATCTTTCTTTTAATATATCCTTTTGTTTACATCAAAATCAAGCTAAGAAGGTTAAACATATCTTCTTCACAATCTCTCCCTTTTTTATGATGACAAAACACATTGATGTGAAGTTTTCGCTTGACTCTTTATTTCTCCCTCTAACTTGCATGTCTCCCCATTTCTTTAGCAATTTATGTCTTTGATATCTAAAAAAAGAATTAAAAAAATACCATCTTTCTTCTCCCCCTTTTTTTTTTTAACATTATCAAAAAGAAAAAGAGAAAAATTCAAAGGAGTATATAATATAAAAGACATGATACACTAAACATAAAAGAACTTATCTTTTTCACAATACTAGCATACAAAGTCAAAGTTGATATAAAAAAACATCTTTCATTCAATGAAACTTTTAGAACTATCTTATCATATGGTCTTGTATCTTGAAAGATCAATCTTGATTTGACAATACTAGCATATGATCTTCAATTACCCACAAAACAGTTAATAGTACTTAGGTACTAAATATTCTTTGAGTCCTTTTAGGTTATATCCCTTTTTCACCCACACATACTCACCATAAGGAATGTTATAATTTATTATGTAGTAAGTGTTAGATGTATGGTATTTTGCATTACAATAAAACAAGTAGGTCTAAACACATGACTCATTTTATTCGCATAAAAGTTATTTCTATCATAAGGCTTTTTATAATGATCTATAGTATGTACTTTCATTGATTCCTTATTGTTGAATTTTCTAGTAGCCTTTACAAAGATAGTTTGACTTATATTAGGTTTATTAAAATTATAAAAGTAAAACACACACTTATTACTTGGATATCTTTGACTACTTACCACATTTTCTAAAACAGATTGACATTTTTCATATTTCTTGATCACTTGGTTTAATTCAACAATTTTAAATTCATGATCTTGACATTTATGGAATGTCAACACTAGTATAAAAAACACATATAACAACGATTATGGAAGACATAAAATCACCATTGATGGTTCACTTTTATATAATGTGTTGTTGTAAGTGGCTTATTTACAATCACAGTATATAGCATGCGGTTGTAAAGTGAATTGCGCACTACGTATGACAATGGTTGTATTAAACACTTGTTGTTATATGTTTTTTAATAAAATAAAATAAAAAAACTAGCAGTAGAATAAGAACAATAATAAGAACAAGAACAACAATAACAAGAAGAAGAAGAAGAAGAACAACAACAATAACAACAATAATAAGAACAACAAGAACAACAACATTAACAACAACAAGAACAACAACATTAACAACAACAAGAACAACATTAAGAACAACAAGAACAACAATAATAACAACAAGAACAAAAATAACAACAATAAGAAAAGCAAGAACAACAAAAACAATAACAATAACAACAAAAAAAAGAACAAGAACAAGAACAACAAAAACAACAATAACAAAATAAATAAAATATCTAAACAACAAAATTAAAATCATAAAATCGTTAAACATTAAATCTCAACAACAACAACATTAAATATTTTACTTGACACAACAACAACAACTAATATTACTAACTTGAATCCATGTTTTCCTTGTATTATTCAAGTTGAAGAAGAGATGACGGAGTTTCGAAATTTGTTAAAGAAATAAATAATATTTTCGAGTTTTTTTTTATGGAAGATATGATGTTTGTGAGTTTGGTTTAGCGGAGAAATAGAGTCTCGTAAATGGAAGGTGAAGTTTGAGCATTGTCTAAAAAGTTAAAAAAATTCTTCATGTAATTCTTGAAAAACATTTTGTAATTCATCATATGAAAGACTATCATTAATTTCAAGATCACTAATTCCATGTTCTTCATCATTTAAATAATGTGATGTAGGGCTGGAAATGAGGCGGGTCGAGTCGAACTCGCATCAGCTCAAATCTCAGTTCTAGTTCAATACAAACTCTTTGTTTAGCTCAAACTCAATTCGTCATAAGTTTACGATCAACTCTGTTTAACTCATTAAATTCATTTCATTAGGTTCATCTCCCTTGTTTCACGGACTTAAAAATTATTTTTTTAAGTCTATTTTATTTATATATTTGATATTTTAAATTAATATTATTTTAAAATAAAAATATTGAAATAAAATAAATGTTATTAGATTAAAATTAAACTTGATCTAAAAAATATATTAATTCAAAAATAAATTAATTTATATAATATTAATTTTATTTGTCTAATTAATTTTAGAAATACTTTGTTCACTTAAGAATATAAATTATCAATTAACACCTATTAAAATAAAATTTAAATTTAAAATTTATATTAAAATAATCTTTCTTATATATAATCGAATTGGCTCATAAATCTAACAAATTAAAATATTTATAATTTAAATTTAATTTATTTAATTAACGAACCTAACTTTTTGTTCATATAGAACTTATTAAGTTTATGAATTAAATTCAATAAATAGAATCAAATTCTAAATTATTTTGGAGTTTCCCTAATGTTACGCTATAAATAACTTGCTTGCATGATATTCATCTCAAAATGAATTTATTTCATTGTCATGGTTAACGTAGATAGTCATATTTTTCCACTTTCAACCATAAATAACATTTATAATCATTTCATTTATAATAATTTGTTGCTTGAGTTGTGATTTTGGATTCTCCACCGATGAGATAGTGTTAAAGTCGTCTTAAATTGTAATATACCCACGTCAGAGATAATGACACATGTATGCTTCACAATCTTTGGTTGCAGCATTCCGCCACTATATTTTTCTCTGTTTCGGCACTGTCAGATTGGGAGTTCTTAGAGTAAGTTTGCCAACATGACACTCATATTTGTTGTTTTCAAGATGGAAAAGTTCTTAAATATGCAACGGTTCTTCAATGGTTCTTATATTAAAATATTAATTTTATAATATAAAAACTATAATTTGATATAAAATTTTATTTATTATTTTAATTATCATTTTAATTAAAATTTAAATATTTAAATTATAATTTTAAATAAAATAAATTTAATATAAATAATATTTTTTTAAGTAAAGTGGTGGGACCCAATATAGATTCTTTAGAGTTCCACTATTAGAATGAAAATTAAATGAGTTGCTTTAAAAGAGTGGGTCCCACAAAGAATCTAAAAATGGGTTGCACCATTGGAGATGCTCTTATGGTGTTTAATTTTGACTTATATGAATAGACCATAGGAGTTTCATTTATATATATTGTAGAAACTAGAGGAAAGCACATCATCATATAGTATAGTAAATCATATTCATACGATTGAGAAAATGGAGAAAGTATCAGATGAAGAAGCTTTCCTTTTCGCCATGGAACTATCATGTGCTTCTTCTGTTCCAAGGGTTCTAAAATCAGCTTTGGAACTTGGCATCATTGAAGTTATAGCCAAAGCTGGTCCTGATGCTTACCTTTCATCTTCTCAAATTGTTTCACAAATTCCTTGTATAAAAAATCCAGATGCACCTTCTATGTTGGACAGACTCTTGCGTCTTTTGGCTAGCTACAAGATTCTTACATGCTCCGTTAAACAAGTTGATGGAGATTGTAACGAAGAAAGGTTGTATGGTCTCCACCCTTTAGCTAAATACTTTGTCAAAAATAATAATGAAGATGAAGATGGTGCCTCCATGATTTCCTTCTTTCTCATGGAACACGACCAGGTCCTCCAAGCTATGTGGTATGTGTATACTACTTTTCTGTTTTTTTTTTTTTGAAACACACTACTTTCATGTTTTATTTCTCTAATCCACGTTAATTTATTTATTTTTCAGTAACATTTCATTAATATATGATTACATTTCAAATTTATATAAGTACTTGTATAATTGGTTTTTTTTAGTTCTTGATTAAAAAAATCTTTTTTTTTTTAATTTTATTTTTCAAAACTCTTTTGTTTTTTTTCCTACTCTATCTATTATGAATGTTATTTTATCTGTCTTGACAAGAATAAATTTTAAAATAAATTAATTCTATAAAATTAATTTACATAAGGGGTCTTGACAAGAATATGTATATTGGTAACAGAAGAAGAGAGGAGTCACAAAATTTACTCAGACACATATAGGAGCTCTCTCCAACTCTTACGTGGATGAGCTCTCAACAAACTCAAACATCCTAAAATATTAGATAGTCTTACGCAAACAACATTATCCTTAATTATATATATATATTTTTTATCATTTACAATTGGTGTCCACCGTGATACTCTACTAAAACTCACTTGGACCACCCTTGTAATCAATCACCAATTCAACAACCACCTATATTATCTTCTCCAGTATGGTGTAAAGGCGAGCAGCTACTTCGGCCAATAGCAGTTTCAATGACAACTCTGAAATCATAGAAGAGATACGCGGCGTTGCCACAATCAGAATTTCAGAGATAATGTCCTTAACCTTCAGCAAGAGACAAATCCTACTATCAAGACAAAAGTTTTGAAAAGCCAGATGAGATTTTGAGAGCCTCTGTATTGGAGAAGTTTAAGCTGTCTTCACCCACAAAGTTTGATGGAAGAAGCGGTCTCAGTAGCATGTCACCTCCATTAACATGTAAATGACGATCATTGGAGCTTCAAATGCTTTGAAGTGTAAACTCCTCTCTAAAACATTTAGAGAAGTCGTACTAAGGTGGTATTTGAACTTGTCATATTCATAAATTAGTAGATATTAAGATCGGGTGAAAAAGTTGGTCCGCCAATTTTCGGCGAGCAGAAACATGAAGATGTCCACATACAGACTGTTAAACATTTGCAAAGGGTCTTTAGAACCTTTAAGGTAGTACATCACTTGTTTTAATGAGGCGACTATCAAGGTCATTCACCCAAACTAGGAAATGTTCGCAGGCGTTTTGCGGAAGAGATTGATGGTTATACATTTCAATGAATCCCTTACCCAAAAACATTCTGCTTTCATGATGGAGGGCATGACGTACGTCGAATGTTACATCAATTTATTGGAAAGCAACACTAATTAAGAAAAAGGTTAGAGTTGCCAAAGAGAAGGCTTTTGGCACTCTAGATTCGTCATAGTGGCAACGTAGAAGCCATTACACCCCACATGACAGGGACAAGGTGACTTTTACGTGTAGAAGAAGATCTACGATGAACTTCACGCCCTTGAACACTCGATATGAATAGATATGGTGTGAAGTCCTTCCTACCTATGATATCCCTCCTCCGCCGACCCCTAAGTCTAACATTATGAAACTTGATCCTGATACGTGGTGTAAATGTTATATGGTCAAGGGCCACTAAACTAATGAATGTTACCATATGAAGAAAGAGATCAAACGACTCATTCAAGAAAGTCACCTAAAGAAGTACATTCGAGATGATTCCCATCAGTCACTCGGAGGCTCTACACCGCAACAGAAGGATCCACTTGGGACCTGTTGAATTGTAGAATTAGGGGGTGTTTTTGTTATCGTCTTCACGAGGATTATTCTGATATGGGATGCTTGTTGTTCAATAGTTTACCATTCTAAGAAAAAGGGTTTTCAAAGCTTGTTTCATAAATTGTCACGATTTAGTAGCAAAACTTATAAATTATAAATGTTTGATCAACAAAGTATATCAAAAGTAGTTTTCATCTACCCTAAATAATACGTATTTTCTTAATCTTTCATGTGAAGTTAAATCCGATTAATATCATCGTGTATTCTCTCAATAATGTCTATGTATAAAGTGATGTCGTGAGAAATACTGTATTCATCGATATACGATCTCTCCATATAACAACCAATATAGTAAGCTTTAAGTTCAATACAAAGCAAATATCAACCATAGACCAGTCTCTACAATCTATAAATTGATACATCAATAATGTCTATGTATAAAGTGATGTCGTGAGAAATACTGTATTCATCGATATACGATCTCTCCATATAACAACCAATATAGTAAGCTTTAAGTTCAATACAAAGCAAATATCAACCATAGACCAGTCTCTACAATCTATAAATTGATACATGAGTATTTTAGTTCAAGTTCCATAAAATCCATGTCTAGAGTTTTACAAAACAAGAATGAATGATTAAGAACAAAAATATTCATCATATATTAATCATCACTTGTTCACATGCATTACCAATCAAAAGAAATACATAAAGTTAAGGTAGAATACCTCTACCTTTAATATAAAGGAAATTAACTACCCATAACTGCGGTAGTTTGCTTTACAAGTAATGAGAGAAGATGAATGAGCATCCATGTCGAAGATTCGATCTTGGATGTGAATCAAACTTCTATTTGCAAAATATCACTCTTTAGTGAAAAAATGCAGAAAATATGGGTTTCTATAATGAAATGGAGTTATGATCTCAAAAAAGTGTGAAAGTAAATATATATATATAGTACTTCCAAAATTTGTCAAGTTCGCCCAGCGAAGACCACTGTATGGAACCTGAAGTGCCTCTGATAAGTTAAACCGTCCTTGAGGAAATATCTAAGTTTGCCTAGAAAAATCTTCTTCGCCCAGTAAGCTTATTCATTACAAGTTCGCACAGCGAACTTATGGTCTTTTTCTTACTGCCTCTAATATAGGTTGGTCCGCTGGGGTTTCACTGCAACTTTACACAGCGAATATTCGTTGGCTACTCGCTATTGTTCGTCCAGCAAACATGCTGAATCTTCTTCTTTTCTTTGATTTCCTTGTCAATTCACTTGTATTTTAATCTTTGATAGTTTATGCATATATCATGTACAATAACACACAAATTAAAGCAACCAAGTGTATTTGCAACAATATTGAAGAATAGCATTGAAACATGGAATAAATCCATTGAAACATAACAAATGAGTTGAATAATGCCAAATATAATGGATCAAATTGAAACATATTTGACATTCAACAAACTCTCCCCAGCTAGATATTTGTTTGTCCTCAAGCAAAATATGCCTCTTATTGAAAGCAGGAGGATTTGATCAAGCATTTAATTCAACCAAGAATAGATTTATGGCTCAAATTATATATACAAATGCGCACAAGCAATGTTCACCACTTCCTAGAATGGAACAATGATAAAGAACTTAGTTCTTAAAACAAATATCATGCAATGTTTCAAAAAAACAACTAAATTCTCATGCTTGAATCACTCTAACACTCCTCTTCAAAATAAGAATGAAGAAATTAACGTGTTTGCAATCGCAGGGCAATTTCACTCACATGGCAAACAATGCAAATAACAATCCAATTCATACATTAATCTAATCAATAAAAAAATGAAATCTTGGAAGCAATAAGATCGCTAAGGGTTTGTAAGATTGTAGCTTAGTTAGGTTCACAAGAAAGGGGCATCTAAGGCCATGGAATCAAAGTTGCCAATGCAAAAGAAATTTTCACTATACAAGGTAATGTACACACTATAACTTCATCCATAATTTCTTTTCTCAATTGTTCACCCTTCCAAACTTCCTTTGTGCACATTATTCATTCTTTATTTTTCTCTTTCAAACAAGCATGCTTTTTCTTTTTCTTTTTCACATTCATATTCACAATTTTCTTTTCAATGCTTATTTGAAATATTTTTCAAAATTTTGAGTAACCTACCACTTTTCTTTTCACTCACCCCAACTTGAATTCAACCAAATCTTAAGTGAATGTTTCTTGCTTTTTATGGCAAGAAAGACAATTTAGAACAATGTTCAAAGGTTCACGATTTTCTTTTTAGAATCCCACAAAGTTCAGTGATGAACTGTCTTTTAATTTATGTACATACATCAAGTTTATCGCTAAATTAGGATCTAAACTATTAAGCTCAAAGGGGTTAGAAAATTTTCACTACTCAGGTTACTTTTTTTGGATATGGTTGTGCTCAATATCAACAATTTCCTTGATCATTTCTAATGCTTCCACAAAATCACAATAATCAAAAGATTAAACATGAATCAAATGTATTAACCAAAGTTTTTTCAGTCATCCTAAGCATATAGTAAACAATGGAGTTTTTTTTTACAATTTGTGGCTATTGGACCTAAGTGAAACAAGCATACAAACAGAGTTGCAAAATGAAACAAAAATACATATTTACACAAAGCAAAAAACTCATGAATTATTCTAACATTCTAAGAAGCGATACAATGTACCTTGCTTGCATTCACATGTTCAAATACTATGATTACCATCCGAACTTGGGAGAATCTTCATTAGATACTTTTAGCAAATAACAACCAACCTAGAAGTTCTCACATTCAACCATCAAAGAAATAAGCATTAAACTCAAGAAAGCTACCAACAACTATAAAAACTAGAAACTACTATAACTGCCACCTCCTTTTCAAAAAGGCCTGCCCTTGGGTCAACTAAAGAAAAGGAAATGCAACAATACTACATAATACATCATAAAAGTATTGTAGCATAAACTCACCAACAGTTCAGAATCTGCCATGTTTGCAGTGCGAACAAATTCTTTGCCCAATGAAGACCACTTTATGGCACCTGAAGTGCCTCTGAGCAGTTAAACTGCCCTTGAGGAAATATCTAAGTTCGCATAATGAACTATTCTGCCCCCATCCATCTTCTTCGTTACAAGTTCGCACAATGAACTTATACTCCTTTTCTTACTGCCTCTAATCTAGGTTGGTTTGTTGGGGCTTTGCTGCAACTTCACACAGCGAATATTCGCTAGTAGCTCATTGTTTTTCGTCCAACGAGCACGCTGAATCTTCTTCTTTTCTTTGGC